GGCATACCAGCTGAGTTGGCGGTCCACTGCCGGCACCTGCGGCAGCAAACAAGACAGACAGGAGTACCATGCCCCATGTGGCGTGTGCAGAACAGGCTAACAAACTGACAATGGCTTACTGACGGAATGAACGGATTGCTGTCGTAAGCAATAATCGACTAACTTACTGGCTGAACAACTGGGCGATTAACTAACTTTATGGATGAATGGCTAACTAACCATCCTGTCTAATTATTGATTAGTGGCCGTGCCATAGAATAGGCGACTTGTATCTGGTTTGCCATTGCAGCGACCCGAATTCGATCCCATGTCAGTTGATGTATTTGTGGTGGACGAAGTGGCACGCGGGTAGATTTTCTCCGAGTACTTCATTTTCCTCTGCACTATGCTGCAAGCCAGAAGGTCGCGAGTTCGAGTCCCGATGAGGTGGACTTTCTTTTTTCAGTTTACCTAATCCTTCCAGCCGCACTACGACCCTGGTGTCGACTCAGCCTCTAACAGAAATGAGTACCACGAATCTTCCTGGGGCGTAAAGCGTAACCGGTGAGTAATGTTGACAGCCTTACCGCCATCTGTGAACCGACTGTCTAGCTAATGTGGAACCCTCAGTGTCTCAGAACTTTATGGGCCTCTTTGGCCTCTTACAGGGATAGCTTTCCTTTCCTCTACCAACTCCTTTTTTCCAATGATGGCTCCATATTTCTCTTAATCGTCACCTTCATCATCCGGGGCTGGTACAGTAGGTCCAATAGTGGCCGACTTACCAAACTGGCTCAAACTCACCCCACCTCCAGAATGAGCAAAATGTGTATTCATTGGGCGATAGATGAACTGACTGTCTTATTGGGTAAGTGACTAAACAACCGAATGGCACTGGCAGAGTCATTGACTGATTTATTTGGCTAAGTGACGAATCAACTGACAGACATTGGCCAAACCACTGACTGTCTTATTTGTCTGAGTGGCTAACCAACTGACTGACTTATTAGAAAAATGACTAATTATCTGATTGACTTGCTTAGCTGAACGACTAGCTGAATCATTTGTTGACTCATTGATTACTGGGGAACACAGCCCTTACAGCAGAGAGTTCATAACATTTACATATTCGAATCCGACCAATAAGAAAACTCTGCACCTGTCGCAAAGATCAGAAAATACTAATAATTATAGTAAAGTAAAAGTAAAAGTAAAGCTATCCCTGTAACAGGCCATGAAGGCCCATAGGGTTGTGAGATGTTATGGGTCCCACATTATCTAGACAATCGGCCCAAAGATGGCGGTAAGGTTGTCAGCCATACTAGCCGGCCGCGCTTTACTCCCCAGGAAAATTATTTATTTAATTCCTGGTACTCATTTCTGTTAGAGGCTGAGTGAACCCCAGGGCCACAGTGCGGCCAGAAAGATTAGGTCAATTGAAAAAAAAAATCCAATGACCTCATCGTTATTTGAACCCGCGACCTTCCGACTTGTAGCATAGTGCCTTAACCACTACTCTACCGCGTATAGACAGTTCATAATTAACATAAGAAATTCTGTATTATTAAACGTCGAATCACAATTACCCTGAAATTTTATGTTCCAAATAAGATTAAATTATTACCAACGTCTGAATTTTTGTGTCTTCGTGCTGGCAATCAGTTCTTACCTACTGACGTTACTGCTGCTGCCGCCGCCATGAATGTCCTGGGTTCGAGACCCCTGAGTGCAGGGTGCTGTGGAGCTAGGACGAGTCCATGCGCTGCGGGTGGTGGGGGCGGTGATTCAGCTGCCAATGGTAGGGGTGGGGTGCAGGGAGACATGCTTCCTGTGCTGCTAGAGCTGGCGGTGCTGTCTCCAGCAGGGAGCTCTCCCTTGTTAGTGCGCTGCGTGTTCAGGATCTGTATCTCCCACATCTGTTCCTGGCGAATTTCATCGTTGTAGTCCTGAAACATGCACGCGACATTGAGTGTCTATATCTGACCGTTAATGGTAGCATTCGGACTCGAATTTGGCACAACGTTTAGAGTCTAAAGTGAGTTTAATTATTTTTATGTCTCCTAAACCCATTACTAAGCCGGTCACGGTAACCGAGCGGTCTGAGGCATGTACTGTCTTCTCTCGCTTGGAAACCGGGATCGTGGGTTCGAATCCCACTCAGGGCATGGGTGTTCAGTTTGTGTGTGTGCGATTTTCTGTGTTTGTGTACAGGTAGAGGCCTTCCGATGAGCTGATCGCCCGCCCAAGGAGTCTTACCGAATGTGTGAGATCTATAAAAACCGAAGTGAACGGAGAAGTTCATGGAGGTAGGCCTAGGCCCACTGGGGCTGTAATGCCAAGGGGGAGAAAACTATTACTAAACGACAGTACTTAACATGGGCCATATTTCAGAGGCAAATGCACGATCTGCTTTTTCGTTCCCTTTCGGGAAGGGGAGACTGAAATTTGAACAAATCTTATGCGTTTTTCTGAACTGTGTCATTTTATTAACATTACGGGAGAGAATGTTGTTTGTAAAACAGTTCATGAGGATTTTTTAGGTTTTCACGGCAGTGACGGAAGAATGCCGTCTTCTTTGCTATGCTCAGACAAAATCCCCATCATTATTGAACTTTCGTTCTCATGAAGCTGGACCGTGCTGCTGTCTCGCGGTAATCATAGGAAACCTATTTTATCTATTACAGCTGTTTTACTTCTATTTATGGCCTGTTTACTATTACTGACTCTCCTTCGCAGTTACAAATGTTGTGCAAATTAAATCCAATATTATACGTATCTTAAAAGTTCACACTGCCGGACATGTTTGAGTCCAACTTGAGGAATGTACTGGGCATTAAATTGTTCTGCCATACCCCCCCTCCCCCAATTCCTTGAGGAAACTACAGCATGACACTACGACATCTCCGCATCCTCGGCTGCACACTTGTCGGTTTCAAAGAGCTTGCGCTTTGAAAATGAAGGCACTGCATTTCATGGCCCTTGCTGTCACTACATACGGGCAAGGTTCCATTCCACACTTTAACTATTTACTTCACGGCACCGGAGAGCCTGTCTTCAAAGGTGATATTTACTAAGCTGGTCACGAAATTCCTTGCTTTTATGGAACCAGGAGATTCATCGCCGTGTCTACAGAAAGAAAGTTAGGTCTACCAGAGTAGTCTTTTTTCCTCTCCAAGAATTAAATTATGTGTGCCTTAAAGATAAATTATCTGGATAAAAAATAAAATTCCAGTATCCGCTTCCTTGGCTGTTTTACGACTGTGTAGCAACTGTAGTTCTTCGAGAATTTTTTTTCCTGTTATGGGATTATAAAGTCGCTCACACACTTTGTAGAAGCCTCTATCATTTTAGGAATGTTTATGAAATCGATGGGAGCTTTTCTTCGCGGTTACTACTATTTGTCTCGCATGGAAAACGAACGCTGTTTTAGATTTATGGTGACAGAATGGACCTCAAAATATTTTGGGAATTAGTAGAGGAAAAAAATGAGTTCTGCCCCTACCAGTGATCGAAGTCAGACCAGCCATACAATTACTGTGACAGAGGCACGTTAAAAGGATAATGAATTTCCATGTATTTCGAGAGATTCAAGTTGAAATTCAGACCAAAAATCCTCATTCCGCTGGGC